ATTGGAGCAATGGCTATTCAGCTCTGTGACTTTGGACTATGCGGATTTGATAGCGTCACAAAACTTCTACATATCGTGCAGACTTTTTTTTGACATATATATCTTCAACATGTAAAAAGTTGTCTAACGGTATAAGAAATCAATCAAATTGTTCTTTTTTGTGTTTTACTCTTATTTTTTTTCTTCACGAAACGGTAATTGCGTGCATTGAAAGACAAAATGCAATATTTTGAGGTCTACTGGTATAAATACTCTGAAGAATTGTCCGTTTCTATAAATTATTGGTTTTTAAAAACCGTTACTTTTGAACAGCAGCAGTCCTAGTTTTTGGCTTGCTTTAAACATTGAACAGTTAAATTATATACTTCATACGCGTTTCTGCTGTTTCAGTAGAAATCCACTTGGCTTTTAAGACATCAAAAAAAAAGTTAGTATTGTATTCAGGTCTCTGTATTTTTGAAGTCACAATAAAAAAAAAAAAAGAAAAGAAGATTAATAAAAGCTTTTTAATTTCTTCTACTTTACTTACTTTTTATAAACTTTGTCCACTTTCTCTTCATTTAGTAGTATAGCATAATGCTTGAGAACACCACAGAGTCAAACATTACAAAACAAAATTAATAGATACGGATCAAGAGCAGCGTTTTAATTTATTGATACTGTGAAATTGCGTGAATAATGAAAGTTAGGAAAAGCTAAAATAATTCAAAAATAAGCTAGTTTGCTTGACCAGTTTACAAATAGCTTCCAACATAAACATCTCTCAAGGAAGGTATTTTTTCAAAAGCTTTTACTGTTTACGTCTGCCATTTTTCTCTGCACAACTGCGTGAAAAAATAAACAGAGAAACCCTAAGCTTTTAAATCTTTGTTGATAATTATTGGTAATTAGCAGAGACCCAGTTTCTGGAATTATTGGGTATATGGGTGACCACAGTAATTCTTTCACAATTTCCAAAGCAAGGGCTTGAAATACAAGACGATTACGTTGCCTCTAAAATTTTAGTACAAAAGCTGCTATCGTTTTTTTTTTTTTAAATTGCAAGTTTTTTTATTCTTCAAAACAGAAGTTCCTTGTTTTACAAAATCCTCTTACTTGGAAATCACCAACTGTATCATCCACTTTTTATTCCAACTAAGAACTGACAATTTCAAAAGAAATATATGCTGCATTTGATTTTTAAAATAATTTTTATTTTTTGTTACTCACTTTTTGAACAATGTGGGTCGGTTGTGTGATGAAACTGTCGAAAGATTGGCCGTGCAGAGAAAATGGATCAAATTTTCATCAAAAAACGTATTTCTTCTAAATTTCTGCTAAAAACCAATCTGTCCATTTTAAATATTTCAGAATTACAGCAACCACTTCGCTTCATTTTAAAAGCTTTGGTTTCAAATCCATTAGGAGAATACCTCCATAAAAATGGTAAAGACAGCTCACAGTTTAACACTGTCCTTTTCCCTCCATACGGCGTTAGTATTAAAACCTATAAATCAATCTCTGCTTGTAATCATTACCAAACGAAAAATAAGCATTCAGAACTTCAGAGACACGTGAAATTTTGACATTGACTGAGCAAGTGGCATCTGTACAGATACTCGGAAACGACCTCCACTGACACTTTCTGCCGAATATTTCTTCAGATCCTGATTAGTTTGTTAATAAGTCATGCTTAAAGTCAATTATGACTTATCTGATGCATCCAAAATAAAAAATCTCGACCGAGACTAATTTTAAGCACACGCGAG